ATCTGATTTGCGCCGATCGGATGCGTCGACTCTCCGAATTGCGAAGCCAGTGCGCGCAGGAGTGCGAATTGTACAAAAGGCCACCCTAAGGCTCGGAAAGGTCCTATAGGAATCCATTTTGGGTTTCCTCATGTCGGTTTCATCCTTCTAAGTGTTAGAAGTCGATACCGCACACGCGAAACTCCAAAAGAGGACGGAAATAGGTCGAACTAAAAAACGAGGCGGGCACCACTTCTAAGGTTCTAAGATAGTCGCAGGAAGACCCCTAAGGCTAGATCCTAACTCCTACGAGGAATACTAGACCTCACGAAAATTGAGGTCAACAGCTCCACCGCACAGAACTCAGTAATTGTGAAGATCAACAGCTTTAGCAGAAACACGAGAAAAGAGGACCATTCTCTAATTGAATTACCTATCTCTAACTAGAATATTTACAAATACATAGGAGGGCGGAGTTGAAATAATAAAGCAAAACTAATAAACCTAGCAACCAGAACAGGAATATTGTTTTACATTTCAAGAAATATTACTGAAATAAGTTCTTTCAGTAAACCATCCAGATCCTAACGTGAACTAAATTTCCTGAGCATTTCCATTATTCAAAATAAATTGCAGCAATTCAAAATCAAATAATGTAGAGTAAAGAACAAAAAATATACAAGTGGTAAGTCGATGAATCATACCGTAAGTAACTTGTACAATATTGATTCAACGTCCTCCCCAACATAGCCAGCCTGGAAAAATTTCTAACTCAAACTTCGAGAAAAAGAAAAAAGCAAGAGCAACAAATTTATCTAGAAGAGGAAACAATAATATTTGATGCAATAAACAAACTCTTCAGCAGTGTTTGCTCCATTTCTATCAAAAAAACAGCTACCAACTTCTGCTTAAGAATCAAAAAGCCAACCATCGGTGAAGTTATAGCTGATGATCAACAGTGAAAATAAATCTGCATGATGCATAAGCAAGGCTGAGCCTTCAGATGGACTATATGACATAATAATATCATTTATATCAGCTTACATAGGCAATAAAAATTAAGAAACTAAAAAGGTGACAATGAAGGTTTACAACATGTTGGGAAATCAAAAAGGCATCCCAAAACAAGATATTATAAAAAGCTTACCAGTGTGATGCCGGATTTAACATAACATCAACAGGAAAATTGAATTTTACTGTAGAAATCAAATAGGAAATGACAACCAACATACGTGAATCTGAAATTGCAACAATTGACAACACAAACTAAAGCTATGGAATAGATCCAATGGTGGTGGTGGTGATCGGCGAGGGTTTAGAAAGTGGTGTGGGGGTGGAAAAGGCAGTTGGCAAACAGAAAACGGCAAGACGGCTCTTTTCCCAGTGCCAAACAGCAAGTAAATAGGGAATGATATGGGAGAGCTGTTTGTGATGACAAGAAGGGTGGAGGGCTAAAATGGTGGCGGCAGCAAAAAGAAAGGGCTGGACAGCAGCAACAGCGAAGGCAGAGGGTTGGAACAGAAACGACAGGGAGGAGGAAGGGCTGAACAAAGGAAATCTACAGGAAAACAGCAAAAGGGCTGCTATCGATGAGGCCTGCAGTGAGGAGGGAGGAGTGGCAGCGAAGCGGAAGAGACGTGAAAGGGTATAAGGAAGATACACACCACCTGGAGACCAAGATACATTCGAAACACCATCTGGAACCCTAGGAACAGACCTCGAAGAGAAAAAGAGACACTGGCAACTGTCCCGATACAAAAAACACAAACAAAACATAAACCATTAACAAAGAAAATATATAATAATAAGATAAATAGAAGTAGCTCAAGGGGACCGGCTGGCTCCACCAAAGTGAAAATACTTGGAGCAATTCCATCCAAGCATGAAAGCAGGATCCGCTTCCCGTCGCAGGAAATCCGATGTACACGGGATACGCCCCATGTCACAGCGAGTTTTATAGAACAAGATATACAAGCGACTACATCATCATTATCATCATTAGCATTCTACCGCTATTCTGATCGACTTTAAAAATAACCATTCTTCGTTCATTACTTGAATGTTGCATGAGTTGCAAACTCTAATTTGTGCATGCCCTTTTTGCAATAATTCAAAAATATGAAATAATAATATCTTTTTGAGGTCATTTCTTTATTCGAAGCACATGACAGCAATATACACCCTTGGCCAAAAAAGATCCATGCATCCAAAGCAAATAACATAACTATGTAAATGAAATAAATATAATTACGAAGATCAATCAAACAAAATTTCCGACTACAACATTCTTGGCAAAAACCTTAGCATAAAAATGTCTAACATATCCAAACTTCTATATATTTCACATAAATAATTTACTATTTGAGCTAATTCATAGTATAAAAAAATGAGATTTATTAAATAAAACACATTCAACAAATTCCATTTGATAGATGATAGAAAATGACATTATAACAGAAATACAGCTAAAAATAAATGGATATTTGCATCCATAAATTATAAAACTAACACCTTAAAATAAAAGAACTGGATAACACGAGAGAGGTTTCCTTGCAGAGTTTCAAATACTAGAGCTAATGATGAATATCACCAAAATAAGAGAGCCCATCACATCAAATATGTCTAAATTTGTTATACTAGAGAACATATATTTTACCTGAGTCAAGGTTGTCGCATCTGCAATGACAAAAGGTACATTCACAAACCGTGCCAACGTTTTTGCAAGTAATGTCTTCCCTGTTCTTAGAAAGAATGAAACAGTAAGCACAAAATAAAACCATAGCATCAAAAAGTCAAAATAATAACTTGTAATCTTCTGTCTACAAGAAAGCCAAATTTTCACACGAATAAAAAAAAAACAAGGAAGCTAAATGTTATCGGTGTCTAGACCTGAACCGGTAGGACCCATCAAGAGTACATTACTCTTCTCAAGCTCCACATTATCATTATCATCATCATCAGTTTCTCTATCACAAATTCCAGAAGTGGCTGCAGACCTGAGGATTTTAAGCATCTTAAGCAAGCCACCCGAACAATAAGAGTTCCGAGGCCTTCTAAAAACTTAAGAAACATGTTTTGGAGTTAAACAAAGCTTACAAAAAATAGAAACCAAATAAACCTTATAATCTAGTAGAAGGCTGAAAGCTCACCCTTTTCGCAATGCTGCATAGTGTATTCGTTTGTAGTGATTGTAAACAGCAACTGATAGTACCTGTAATTAGCTCTTCTGGTTTTATAAAACCATGAATACAAGAAAAGGCCTAAAACAATTTAATTAAAAACACCATTACATTATATAATCAATCAATTCAATCCACCATAGTTAAGCAAACAAAAGATACATACAAACTGCACCCGTACAAATATTTTTTGGATGTAGTGCACAAAACTCAGAAGAGCCTGTTATGTTACAATACACCAATTATGTTGACATCCAAAAGTAAGAAAATAGTAGTATATAAATTGGTGACGAAAGTGTTAGCAATGGTAATCCAGTTATGAAAAGTTGAAGCATAATGCTATGGAGACAATGAAAGATGAAATAAATTAGAGCTATATTGTGGGTGATTCTAGGAATAACTCCAACAACAACAACAACAACAACAACAACAAAGCCTTAATCCCACTATGTGGGGTCGGCTACATGAATCATTTTTCTCCATTGCGTCCTATTTAGTATCATATTTTCATTTAGTTCTAGAAAATTAAGATCATTTTTAATACAATAAGCCCAAGTCTTCCTAGGTCTACCTCTGCTTTTCTTAACACAAGTCGAATTTAAAACATCTACTCTCCTAATCGGATCATCTAATGGTCGACGTTTAATATGACCAAACCATCTAAGACGACTTTCTCTAATTTTGTCTGTCACAGGAGCTACACCAACCCTATCACGAATATATTCATTCCGCATTTTGTCTCTAAGTGTAAAGCCACTCATCCACCTAATCATTCTCATCTCGGCAACACTTAACTTATTATTATGCTTCTCTTTTAAAGGCCAACATTCAGCGCCATAGAGCATTGCAGGTCTCACCACCATCTTATAAAATTTT